GCTTGGTATTCTGCAACAAACCTGCCTGCTTTAATTTGAATAATTCTGCCTGATGGTTAGCATAAGTAAATGGATCAAATCGCAGTTTCAACGCTTTAGTGAAAGATGGTCAATCAATTAAAAGCTGACTTTGATGCATTCATTTGAACCAACAGAGGGCTTCACCTTTCATATAAAATGACATCATAGACAATCTATTGTCGGGGGGGGGGGGGGGGGGTAAATGGTAAAAATCGGAAAATTGGTCGGCCTGAAATAACCATTTCAAAGGGTTGGATCCATCAAACAACGGAAGTTCTAGTTTAGGTGTACGGAAAGGAGGAAGGGTTGGAGTGGGTTGAAGTGGGGGAAAAGACATAGGTTGGAACAAAGGGAAGTTGTAGTTCTGGGAATAGAGGAGGGTGCTGGATTGAGTAAGATGAGGTGAGGACAAAAATTTGGGAATTTGGGTTGGTGTTGTATGTGCTGCTACCGTGGTGAAAATCGTGGTTTGGGGGTTGTTAGAAAAGACCCCGAGTGTAGTTGAGGGGCCATGAATTCAAGGAAATGAAAGCACCAATGATAGAAGAGGGATTTTTCAACAATAAAATTCAAGAAGATATAGGGTTTTACCATAAGATTTGCACAATCATAAGAAGGATAAAAGAGAGAATTAATTAAAATGTCTTGATATTTCTTGCCTCCTCTAAGAAGGATAACATGATTTAAATACAACATAACTTAAATGGGCTACAACAAAACAGGCCCAAAACTGAAATTAAGCAGAAGAAAATAAAAAATATAAACTATTTCATTTCATAATCCTCCATCCATTTTGGATGGGCTTTGGTTCGTGTGGGCCTACTAGCAGTCATCTCAAAATACCTGAATGCTTTCCCTTACAGCTCGTTTGGTAGGTAGAATTTCTCTCTTAATCGTTAGCTATTCCATTCTTAGTTCGCATTGGTCCATGCTTGCTTCGGTTTATTTTTCTGCTTTATTCTTGATGTCTGAATGATGTATAGCGCTGATTCTCGTTGATTTACAACAAGTTGGTTCGTGATTGATTTTCGTTTCTAATGGATATAGATGTTGGATTTTTGGTGTGATTTTCTTTGCTTTTGTTTATTGATTACTGGAAGGAATTTCTGAGCCGCAGAAACACGCTGAAGAAAGGGAGCAAGTTCTGAGTTGGGGTTTCATTTTTTTGCTGTATTAGTTTGTTCATACGATTGAAAGCGGAATGAATCGTGAATACAAAGAAGAAAGAGAGATACGATTGAAAGCAGACGGAGAGAGAGAGAGAGAACTATTGAGCTTTTTTTTCCTTCATTTTTCTCGTTGTGGTTTGCGCGCATTGTAGAGAGAGATTGAGAAACAATACGACATGTTTAAGGTTTCTTGCAGCCCTTTTGGAATAATGGATCAAATCGGGTCTGGATTTTGATCCGACCCGTCCCACCTCCTCAAGATTGGGTCGCCCCATTGTTGGGCTGATCCACCCTTCTTCTTTGATTCCACCCTTGTCCAGTTTTTTCTCTCTTTTATTTTATTTTTATTATGATGTTTTTTCACAATACTCTTTGATTTTATTTATTTGTTTATTTATTTTAATTAAATTGTTTTTGGACATTTAGAATATTTGTTTTAATATTTTGATTATAATTAAAAGTATTTATTTTAGATTAATCAGTCTATTTTGCTAAATATGAATAAAACCCTAAAAATATTTTTATTAATTAATTTTGTGAATTATTCTTTTTAATTTTTGATTTATGTCTAGAATTTATATGCTTAGTTTTTTTAATCTTTAATCATTTAAATTCTATTAAGAAGTTTGTTTAGTCAATTCGTTTCCTAAGCTTGGAGTTCTCTTTGGTTTGACCTCGTGATCTCGATTCTTATATTGGCTAAGCATTTATTTTTTTGTGATTGTTTGCTTCTATGTCTTAGGCTCGACTTCTTTTGTTAATTCACCTTGGTGCCTGTGTATATATCTTGATTATGTCCCAACTTTAATTTCACATGTTCCTTTAGATCCCCTTGTTCAACTTAATTTTAGATTAAGATTGGAGTAAGATAGATTTAGGTTCTTAATATTTGCATAACAATATTAGGTTAACATTCCCTCTTTATCTAATTCCAAAGGAAATGGTTTCTCTGTTGTCTATCATGTCACAGTTAGGATAACTTAGTTTACTTACCACCCACCTTATGACCTTGTTAGATTCATTCCTTTGGCCTTGTCAAAGTCATCTTCCCTCTTTAACCTAGCCTTAGGTTAGAGTTTGTTAACCTTATATAAGTACTGTTGTTATAAGTACTTACCTTCCCTTTCTTGGCCTTGTTAGAGCCAAAAGACCTTGTAACTTAGAATTAGGTATAGAGTTTGTAAACTCTATATGAGTACCATTGTTATGAGTACTCACTTTCCCCTTTGGACTTTGTTGGAGTCAATCCCTAGTTAGTCTTTCAACTTAAACTTAGAGAGTTTGTTAACTATATGTAAGTATCATGATTATGAATACTTACTCCCCTTAGAACCTTGACCACAGTCAAGAGTTCCTCACCCTTAGTGAGGTGAATTATGAATGTTCTAATTCCATCCTAATTAGGATACATAGACACGAGACGCGATGTCTTAGCGAGCATACTTTGTAAATACCTTAGGTCTTTACCTTAGCATGTTTCCATTAGCAAGCAAACTTTAGCATAACACAAAAGCAAATAAGAGGTTCCTATAGAGTACTACAGATACTTAGGATGCTAGCACATTCCTAGGTATAACCAACTCCCAAACCTTAGATCTTTTAGCTTTGTTGTTACATAGCGCACTTAGGGTTTTCTTCGATATTTACCCTTTCATTTGGATAAATCAAAGCTCAGTGATGAACTTCATGATTTGTGATTCAAGTTAATTAATAGCTTGATATCTGATTCTCACCGCAACATGGGGTTTTCCTTTAAGATCGGTGTGATTTGAAGATTTTGGACAAGATCACGTCAACACAGATTCAATCGAGTGAAGGCATTAGGATAAGGTGGTTTCCTTGCAAGGGAGTACCGCGAGACGGTGAATCGTGTTCGGGAATCTTAGGTTTAACAAATGTGTGCTCGGGATAATCGGAGGATTGTAGCCGCATTGTTGGTGACTTAATCAAACTTTGATCAAGGATTCAGAGGTGGTTGAATCAACAATAAACAAGAGGGTTTGTGGGGTTAGAAATCTTCACATGTTAAATATTTTTACAAAGATAAAGTTAATTGCAAGTATATCCATTCGATCTCGGATTTAGGACAAACATACCTATAACGAGGCCGATTGGGGTATTGCCTAAACAAATATTTGCATCTCTTTATCGCTTTATTCTTCTTTAATTATTGCTCTTGCAAATTATCGATTCCGTTGTTGTTTTGATTAATTCAATTGGAAATTGTTTTCAAATATCTTTTAAATAGTTGTTGTTGATATAATCACGATCGCTTTGATTGTGATTGACTTTTTACACCAACAAAATAAATCGAATTTCCAAACGTGATAAATCGCACACAAAGTGTTTGATAAATTATCTTTGAGTATTTTTATCGCTCTGTATTCATTGGAAATAAGCATTATGAATAGCTTTGCATTTGGTTGATCTGTGAATTAATTGTTGTTGAACAATTTGTGTTTATTATCATTCCATCGATTTTATTACGCATATTCGAGCTTTTCGATAGTAGGTTCGGTTAGACGATTCAATTCAGGTTGTTTCCGCTGTGCCATACTTTTCGGAAACAATTTTTTGTCAAGAATTTTTGGTTTTAAATTTGTGATCTATCACCCCCTCTATATCGACGCTTATCGTCTAACATAATTGACTCTCAAACATTATGTTATCCATTATCGTTAAACACTGTAGCAAGTCTTCCAATTCTTTTGATCTTTTCACCGTCTATAATGTCTCGACATAACCAACAAACTAAACTCCTCTCAAGATGCTCGAAAATCTCAGTGTTCCAGTCAGATCTACATCTGAGACTTTACTATTGAATAAATAAAATTAACATATATTTTGATGATATGACATTTTGAAGAAAGATTTAAGAAGAGAATAAAAAGATGAGTTGCAAATTATGAGGTGAGAATGTCCTATTTAATAAGAAAACAATACAATATAAAAGACATGAGGGATGACGTGGGCTTCTAATGCTTGCATGCATGCACCATTGCTATTGGCATGACACTAAAACATGCGTCACATGCAATAGTGTCTAAGATAAAATTAGAGTGCATATGCCATAGGCAATGACACATCCTATGTGACGAAATTTTTATATTTAAAAAGTGATTACTTTGATAAATTTTTTAAAATGTTGATTATTTAAGTATTTTTTTAAATTGATTATTTAAAAAAAAATCCAAAGTCGTGTACTATACTATACCCTAAAATAAAAAATATCAACGAAACAACAAGGATAGATAACTACTTTACCAATGTCATATTCTTGAAATAATTATCATAAATTGGTGCTTTTGAACTAACTCTCCCATTAGAGCAAAAATACATCAAGTGTCATACTCAATGCATGTACAATGAGCTTCTTCTATAATCAACTAAACATACAAAAAGGACAAAAAATATCAAACAATTAAAGTAAAAGATTCCACTTCAAATAATGCCATGGGTCCTACTCCTATAGGCGTGATTATAGCATTATTAATGTGGAGTAGTTTATCAAAATTAATAATGCAAGCTTAAGTCATACATAATTATCATCATCACCATTAAAATTATAAAAAATAATATGGACAACAACCCAACATGAAAATCCAATCATTCATTTCTAAAGAAAAATTCAACTCTTGAGTTTCTCACCATTTCAATTTCTCTCAAACTTTTGTGAAGCTATGTTAGAAAGATTGAGTTGAGAAACTTTTTTTAGGACTATTTCATATCCTAGAAAACTAAAAATGAAAAGGATGTTATTTTTTCTAAGCCCTTTGAAGCAAAGTTTAAAATGTTTTTGTTTTGGTGGAATTATGTCTCATAAACATCCTTGGCTTCCAATATGGACATCCCTTGGCTACGGCATTCATGGCTGCAAAATGCCATCTCACCCCTGCAAAATACAATACAACATCATGCAATTAGGTTAAAGATCAATTGGTATGCTTAAAAAATGGTTCAAATTCTTATCATAACCAAAATAGAAAAGCAAACCAAAGAATTTAAAACAAAGCAAAGACTCACCTAGAAACAAAACAAAACTCTAAATGAACGGAACTAACACGATACAAAAATTATCGGGGCGATTTGAACCTTAAACTTTGACAAAAGTCCAAAGTATAAACCTTTATCACCCGAGCAACCCGGGCAACCCTTTAGGGTTTTGTATAACCTTTGATGACGTCGATCATAAACTCAACTAAAAATAGAACAAAACTCTGCATGAACTGAACTAACTCAATACAAAATTTATCGGAGAGATTTGAAGCCGAGAGTTAGATTGGAGCACATAGTATCAAACCTTCATCACGCAACTAACCCTTTAGGGTTTTGTATACCCTTTGATGACAAGGGCAATCCAAAATCTTCACCAACACATAAAAATGCAAAATTTTCTAATAATCCACATACAAACCAAATTTTCATTACAAAAATTGAAACTTTACCATTCAAAAAAGCAATTACCTGTACATGTAGATGTCTTTACCCTGCTCAAGATTCTTCTTGCAGTAAAAACAGAAACTCAGAAAATTCTCATATTGCTGATAATAGCCAATAGGATGAGGAAAATAAAAACCATTCTCTTTAACAGAAACAGAGCATCCAAAATCAAAACAACCACTCTCAATTACACAATTATCAAATATATGAGTAGTTCTCGGATTCGGGCCATGACAAATCACACGAGTATAATCCTCAGAAAGCTCCATTTCACTTGCAGAAACACACCCTTTGAAAACTCCATTACTAGAATTCAAGTTTTCATTTTCAACAACAGAATCACCACCACACCCAGATGAAGATTTTCCAACAAGAGAGACCGAGAAGCTTCCAGAAGAACAACCCAGATGAGAATTCATAGTCTTGATTCCGAAATCACCTCTCGATAAAGGCGACGATGATGATTCAGACGAAGAAGAAAAAGACGGAATCTGAATCTTCAACTGAGATCCAAACAGAACCGTTCTGTTTTCCAACTTCGAATTCACTTCACTGTTCTTTTCATCATCAACAAGAACATCAACTAAACCAAGACCAACAACCTTTGACTCATGTTTTTTTTCCCAACAACAACGTTTGTGGTGTTCTTGTGCTCTAGGACTATTCGTTGTTTCAGACCAAAAATGATTCTTTTTGAAAGGTTTGCTATCGAGAATTGAAGTTGGACTCATCATGGTTGTTTCACTTTCATGAAAACCTTTCGAAGCAAAACTCGTAAACAACTTCGGAGAATTAAAGAAAGATAAACTGATTCTCTTTGAATCCTCCATTATAGCAGCTTAATCAGAAACTGTTACAGAAATTACAAAAGTCCATGAAATGAATATTATATAGGTTAGAAATACAAAATACTTAATTAAGATTGAAGATAGTAACTTTTTCTTCCCCGTTTTTTGCGGTGAGTTTCTGAGAAAAGAATCAAGAAGGTGATGAAAAAAGGCATGGAAAGAGAGTGTGAGTGGTCATGATCAAACGGACCAAGACATGCATGTAACAGAGAAAACAGAACAAAATAAGAGTTTGTAATTTTGTTGGTTTTCTTGGATTCCTTTTTCACAGCAAATTATTATTACTGTGTGGAACAATAGTGGTGTGGTGGGGCTGTTTTTATTTATTTTATGTATCGTTTTCAATGTACCTTTAATAGGGCACTATAGTTCAGTGTTCCATGATTAGGTCTGAAGTTGCAGAGATCAATGAAATTGTTGGAGAGAGAGAGCGGTTTGTGATTGGAGTAACTGGTTGGTGGGTTTTTTTTTCCTTGTATGATTGAGGATAGGTGGGTTTTTTTTGGTTTGAAATTTAAAGGAAAAGAAGAAGAATGATGGGTTGTTTCAGGTGAATCATTGAGTGGTTTTAATAGGGACACATTAGTATGATCTCAGCAATGTTAGTTTTTACAAATGTTACCGGTAAAAGTACGTATATTCCCATGTTAAATGGTTGAGAAATGATGCATTTGTATCAAAATACTCATGTTAATATTATGATGTCATTTTTTTTAAACTTTAAAATTGGTAGAAAATTTAGAAAATTAAAAATTGGAAAGATGCTGATTTAGACTGGCCAACCTAATACTATGTTGATGAGGTCTAACAAGACTCAATCCTCTCTGTCAGACACAAACTTCAACAAGGCATACTAGTGGTTTTAATAGGGACACATTAGTATGATCTCAACAATGTTAGTTTTTACGAATGTTACCGGTAAAAGTATGTATACTCCCATGTTAAATGGTTGAGAAATGATGCATGTGTATCAAAATACTCATGTTAATATTATGATGTCATTTTTTTTAAACTTTGAAATTGGTAGAAAATTTAGAAAATTAAAAATTGGAAAGATACTGATTTAGAGTGGCCAACCTAATACTATGCTGATGAGGTCTAACAAGACTAAATCCTCTCTGTTAGACACATGTTTCAACAAGGCACACTATTAGTATGATCTCAGCAATGTTAGTTTTTACGAATGTAACCGGTAAAAGTACGTATACTCCCATATTAAATGGTTGAAAAATGATGCATGTGTATCAAAATACTCATGTTAATATTATGATGTCATTTTTTTTTAAACTTTGAAATTGGTAGAAAATTTAGAAAATTAAAAATTGGAAAGATACTGATTTAGACTGGCCAACCTAATACTATGCTGATGAGGTCTAACAAGACTCAATCCTCTCTGTTAGACACATGTTTCAACAAGGCACACTATTAGTATGATCTCAGCAATGTTAGTTTTTACGAATGTAACCGGTAAAAGTACGTATACTCCCATATTAAATGGTTGAAAAATGATGCATGTGTATCAAAATACTCATGTTAATATTATGATGTCATTTTTTTTAAACTTTGAAATTGGTAGAAAATTTAGAAAATTAAAAATTGGAAATATACTGATTTAGACTGGCCAACCTAATACTATGCTGATGAGGTCTAACAAGACTCAATCCTCTCTGTCAGACACAAAGTTCAACAAGGCACACTAGTGGTTTTAATAGGGACACATTAGTATGATCTCAGCAATGTTAGCTTTTACGAATGTTACCGGTAAAAGTACGTATACTCCCATGTTAAATGGTTGAGAAATGATGCATGTGTATCAAAATACTCATGTTAATATTATGATGTCATTTTTTTTAAACTTTGAAATTGGTAGAAATTTTAGAAAATTAAAAATTGGAAAGATACTGATTTAGACTGGCCAACCTAATACTATGCTGATGAGGTCTAACAAGACTCAATCCTCTCTGCCAGACACAAGCTTCAACAAGGCACACTAGTGGGGCAGAGCATTATCTTGCACGGAGAGAGCTCACGCGTTTTTTCCACGGACTCCACGTGTCCCCCACGCGGGGACACGTCATCAGACAACTATCCACTTTCGAAAGAGTTGGTCAGCCCACCTTCCGTAGATCACGGGGTAGTTGATCTAGGGCGTAGACCACGTGCTGGTCTTTACTACGCCAAGTAAGCCCTGACACTTACTTGTGTTGGGCTTGGCAATCCGACCCACTGTAATGTAATCGTTGGCCCTACGCTGGGGGCACATTATAAATACCCTCTTTCACTAGAGGGTCAGGTATCTTATTCACTACACATTTTCTCTGTACTTGCTCTCTCTCTCTCTCTCTTTCTAGTTCCGTTACTCACTTAAGCATCGGGACATCTTGCAGGTACACCCCCTCGTCCTCTACAACACCGGTGAAGGCAGCAACTCACGACGCGTGGCAGACTACTGATTCCTTTCTGATCAGGTACGATCAGTGGTGCCGTTTGTGGGAACCTTTTGCTTACCCGTTCTTTCTCCTGTCCAAGCATAGAAGCTCAAGTGCCAAGGCAGCCTTCAACTTCCATTCTAATCATGGTCAGCCCACGCGACGACAATGCTCCTGAAACCGCCTTCATCCCTTTCACCAACGGAGACAGCCACGACCCCAACACGACCGTTTGCAACGAAGAAGACGACTACAGGGAAGGGCACACCGCCTCTCCTTCCACGGAAGACGCGACCTTCAATGTTGCCCAGTGCTTCGACAATCTTGCTGTCTACCAGCCCATCCTGGTGTCATCTGGCGCCGACCCTACCATGGTGGCCCTGTTCGTGGTGATCAACCAGACTAATCTGATGATCTTCGGGAAGAACGAGTGAATAGGGATGCTCGAGAGGGAACGAGCATCACGCTCTCCCCCGCGGAGACATCTTCGCCCAATTTCCAACAGCGCCTCTCATCCCCCGTGGAGGACATGGCCAGTCGACGATTCTCGGAGTCCCTCTCCTCGACCAACTAGACGTCACCCTCGTTTGGAGCGACCGTAGTTGTTGGCTTTCCAGAAGCGGGGAATGGTCACCTCCTTGGAAGGAGCGACGTTCCCCATTTCATAAGAAGAACAAAGCCGAAAGGGGTGCCTCCAAACCAAGAGCCTGACCCAAGAGTCCTCCTCGACGGAACAGAAACAACCAAGGATCATCCTCCCCCTCACTGTCGCCCGTCAGGAGTGACAAAGACGTCCAACACTCACCACTATGTAGGGCCATCAAGGAGGCCCCATTGCCAGTTGGGATGGAGAAATCCCCGTCCTTGGCAACATATGATGGCACGACTGACCCAGACGACCACATCGAAAGCATCGACGCGATGCTCGATTATCGGAACGTTTGGGGAGCCATCAAGTGCAAGTTGTTCTCCACTATCCAGAGGAAGGGTGTCATGGTGTGGTACAAACACCTCGCGCCCGAATCCATCACCTTTTGGGGTGAACTGAAGAGGCAGTTCTCCAGGAACTTCACGGTCTCCCGGCACCATCCGAAGACAGAAGTAGCCCTGATAGCCATTATCCAAGGGAAGAACGAACCTCTCTGAGACTACATAGAGAGGTTCAACCGAGAGGCCGTCCAGGTGTCCATCACGGACGACATGAAAAAATTCCTGATCCAGAGAGGCATAAGACCTCACTTCGACTTCGCCAAGGCCATTGGGATTGAACGTCCCCACATCTTGAATGCCCTTCTCCACAAAGCTCAATCATACATCCAGTATGAGGAGATAGAAGTCGCGAACACCGTCTGGAACACGCAGAACCAGGAGGGCTTCAGGGGAGTCAGGCATGAGGAGGTCGCTCCTCTTCGATGAAACGAAGAAAGAAGACGCGAAGACCGACCCCGCGAGTAGAGGGGACCCGCATGCCGGTTCACCGAGTACACACTGCTCACAGCTCCCCGCCAGCGCATCCTGTCCGAATGCATCAATTTGGAATTTCAGAGGGGCGATGTCTGTTTCCTGAAAATGACGCCCCCTAAGCCCAACGTGGACAAATCCAAATACTGTTGGTTCCACCGAAGTCATGGACACGTCACGGAGGATTGCATCCAGATGCAATCCGAGATCTTAATTAAGGAAGGGCACCTGAAGTAGTATGCCCGGAGAGGTGAAGCTCCCAGACTTGAGGCCCGCGAAGCCAAGAGGGGCGAGTGTTGCACCCAAAATTTTGACCCCTTGGATCCTCATCATCATTTTAGGATCATATTCATTTGTTTAACTAACCTTAACCCATTTCCAGTTTATCTTTGTCAAGATGCAGATGAATTTGGGTTCCGTACCGTCAAAATCGAGGCCTTCATGATTTGATCAATCAATGTTTTGGATTGATTCAACTTCAAACAAGATCAAATATACTACATTGGGTCAAGTATGAATCCAATTTGAGGTGGTCACCCAAGAATTGAGAACAGTGCAGTTCAAGACACCCGATTAGGGTTTTCGATCAGGGAAAGTCAACTGTAGTTTGACTTTTGGTTTAAAAAGTGTTTCAATGGTGGGATCAAGGTCAATTAAGCTCCTATGGCTTATTAAAGTCTATCTAAAGAGTTTCAAGTCCTCAGAATGTCCGGATCACCGACAGTCGACTCGTTAGTCACTGATTGATCGAACGATTGACCGAAAAGTCAACTCTTCAACAATAAGGAATTTGACTTTAAGATGTGAATAAAAAATGTTCCTTATGTCATATTACACCTCCCCATAAAATTTCATGACCATTGGATCAAGGGTTAAGAAGTAATTGCAAAAATCGGGAATTAGGGTTTCGAAAGGGGCAAAAACATAACTCCTCAACCACACATCAAAATGAAGTGGTTCAAAGTTTACTGGAAAGCTCTTAACAAATCCTACAAAATCCTCAAAGTGGTCCATGATCAAAAAATGCATAGATTTGGATTTATGACAAAATTCATTTTAAGAAGGGAAATAACTTAGAAAAATTCTAAGTTA